TCTATCTAATCACCTTAGCTCAGCTATCTTCAAGAATCTACTCATTTTAGCATGGATTTCGTTCGCCCTCGGTTCGAAAGCTATTCCAGCCAGGACTATGCTTGGGGTGAACTCTTTGCTGGCTATGACTTTCCAATTCGGTAATATCATCCGAAATCTGCCTCGAGTGTCCTACGTTAAGGTAACATATTCGCTTCTCCGTTCAATTAGGTTCATTATTTTATCCGCTTGAGGACGGATGACGAAGTAATTACGGGGTTGAGAATAATTGATCTAATTTGAAGACTTAACAATGCAGGGATTTTTCTGGATATTACTAACGTTTCAAACTTCATTAATTCCCGAAAAAAAGCAAAACGTAGTTTGGAACAAAGAGGGAGTGCTGAGCTGTAAATACTTATCACTTTTGTGCAGTAGCTTAAGTAAGAAGGAAAATGTCTTTGTAGAAAGAAAATGTTTATTATCTTTTTAATACAACAATCCCCTGTTGTGTCATTAAATATCTCATTTACAGGCTATAGATGTCTGGATGCTATCCTGCATGACGTTTGTGTTCTGTTCACTTCTCGAATTGGCCTGGGTAGGATACCTATCTCGAGAAGAAGAATATAGCCCACCACCATCGGCAGCACCAATACCCAGCAAAGCTCTGCCGATTCCTCCTTTAACATCGAATAAAACCACACCAGTAGCTCCACCAACTCCCAGTCACCAGGTTCATAGTGCAATGAGCACTCTGCACAGGTAAGATTTGAAAATAACTTCATGAAGTCATCGAAGGTTTTTGGCAAAAAAGCACTTTGAGCTTTTTTATGTTTATATATGAAATGTGAAATTGTCCCAGAAGTGTATAGTTTTTTCGTTACACGCTTATGAAAGAGAAAACAAAAAAAGTTGAAATTCTGAGATTAAGGCAAAAACTGCAATTCTTCAAATTCCTGCCCAGAATTTTTTGAATCATCATTTCCAAATGTCTCTTGACAATACTAAGTGCATATTCAAAACAAGCTATCATTCAGCCATCTTCAATCCTTCTAAATCATCTCATCTTTAAGTCATGAACCTTACGAACAAGCATGTGTAAGAACTAAAGTACATCTAGAGAAGACGTACTTTAGTGCTTGTGTGTTTGTGCATAGAGCTCGCGTATTCCCCAGAGGTGTCGAATCTGGCCTCATCGTGCCTATTCGCGCATAGCATCAAGCT